CCCACATCAGGACATATGTGGGACAACAAATAAATGTTTAGATGGGGAGAATAGCACATCAATGTTCCACTCTTTCTCCGTCTCCCTTCCTGTCTAAAAATCAATAAATAAAGGTTGACCAATACAGGTCAGTGATTGACCATCGACCTATGAACTTTCAGATCATAAATCCATTGCTTGTCAGGGGACATGAAAAAGTTGCCAGCTCAATCTCCAGTGGGAGATGTGCAGGAAGCAGCTGGTGAATGACTCTCTTTCATCTTCATGTTTATCTCTCTCCTCCTTCTGTTCTTCTCTGAAATCATTAAAATATATTTACAAAATAAATAAACAATTTATACAAGAAATAAAGAACCCTGTCCCATGTTGCTCAGTGCTGAGAATGCCTGTGTGAACACTTGAAGGTCATGGGTTACATTCCCAGTAAAAGGCAGGTATGTGGGTTTTGGGTTGAATCACGCCTCTTAATGGGGCACATGTCAAAGGCAACCAACTGATATCTCTGTCTGTATGTCTCTCTCTACCTCTCCTCTCTTTGCCTCTCTCATTCTCTAAGTAAATAAAAATTTATGTAAAAATATTCTCACTATTCAGGTGAACATAAAACATGAACTAAATTCAGAAAAGTTATGGAAGGCCCTAATTTGTTTGGCTCAGTGGATAGAGTGTCAGCTTGGAGAGTGAAGGGTACCAGGTTTGATTCCGGTCAAGGGCATTTACCTTGGTTGAGGGCACATACCCAGTGGGAGTGTGCAGGAGGCAGCTGATAAATATTTCTCTCCCATTGATGTCTCTAACTCTGTATTCCCCTCCCTTCCTCTGTAAAAAAATCAATGAAATATATTTTTTTTAAAAAGAAAGAAAGATGCCGAAACCAGTTTGGCTCAGTGGTAGAGCGTTGGTCTGTGGACTGAAAGGTCCCAGGTTCAATTCTGACCAAGGGCATGTACCTTGGTTGTGGACACATCCCCGGTAGGGGGTGTGCAAGAGGCAGCTGGTCGATATTTCTCTCTCATCAATGTTTCTCTATCTCTCTCTTCCTCTCTGTAAAAAGTCAATAAAAATATATATTTAAAAAGAAAGAAAAGTTATGCGAGTATAGATACAAAATGGCGGTGTAGGCAAAGACCTATACTCGTTGCCTCCCACAACCAAATCAAAATTACAACTAAAATACAGAACAACCATCAGCCAGAACCACTGGACAGCTGGCTAAATGGAAGTCTTATCAATAGAGAAGTAAAGAACACTGAGACTGGTAGGAGGTGCGCAGGCACGGCAGGTGCTGGTCTGCTAACCATATGGGCCACGTTTTTAATTGGGATGGAGGTCATCTCTACAGAGATCATCCAGTGGAACAAGGGGTCCCATACCATAAGGAGCACAGCCTATAGTCCCAGAACTGGGGGGGGGAAAGTCCCTAATGGAAGGAAGAACTACAAGTTGTAAAAAACAGTCGGAGAAGGGCCGAATACAACAGAAGACTCATCTGTTCCTCTTATATTGTCAGTAGCACAAAGTGAACTTCCAAGCTCCAGATTCCTCTGACCTCCAGGGCCAGGCCAGCCTTGGGGAGAGGGGTGGAACAAGACACATATGAGGAGAAACTGAACTGAGTGGCATCAGGGCAGGAACTTCAAGTTTCTCCAAGAGGGAGGTGCTCTTGGAGAGGCAAGTTTCTCCAAGAGGGAGGTGCTCACAGACGTCATGATACCTATGCTGAGATATCACAGGTCACAGGTCAGACTGACAACCATTTCTGTTTGCTCCGACCTGGTGATTCCCTGAGAATCCAATTTAAAACTCCACCCAAGCTGTGTGTAGCAGCTTTGGTATATGAATGTCCTGTCCTTGTTCAGGCTAAAACCTGTCAAACAAGCGGCAGTTGGGTCAGGGAGTCCCAAAACTGTCAATAAAAGGTCCAAGACTCAGCACTTTCTGTAGCCTTCCTTTATTCACAGCTAGGCCTCATAGGGCAACTCCAAACCCAATTCAAAGAGGAGAATCTGCAGATCTCTCTGTAGATCCTGCTGGGTGACTCAGGCAGTGGCTTACTTTACGTATCCTTGCAAACCCAGGAGCCAGTGTACCCAGTGATCAGTGTTACAGCCTAACCTGTTTACAACTCTTCACACTCATAAGAGACACACTCAAGAGGCAGACTCCCAGAGCAACAAAGCCCCACTGAAGCAAGTCCTGCTCCAAAGAGATGTCTACTGCAAGCAGCTTTCCCACTGTAGTCTCAGTGACCCCTGCACATGCTAACACCCTCAACGTAATTCTCGCAAATGGGATCCAGCATTACAATAGAAAGATCATACACCATGACCAAGTGGGATTTATTCCGGGGATCCAAGGATGGTACAATATCTTCAAATCAATAAATATGATACATCATATAGATAAGCTGAGAGGCAAAAATCACATAATCATATCCATCGATGCAGAAAAAGCATTTGACAAAATACAACACCCTTTCTTGATTAAAACTCTCAGCAAAGTCAGAGTACAGGGATCATACCTCAACATAATAAAAGCCTTACATGACAAACCTACAGCCAACATCAGACTCTATGGGAAAAAGCTAAAACTGTTTTCCCTACTAACAGGAGCCACAGAGGGAAGCCCCCTTTCACCAGTCCTGTTTGATATAATACTGGAAGTGCTAGCCATAGTGAGCAGACAAGAAAAAGAAATGAAAGGTATCCAAATTGCAAAAGAAGAAATAAAACTGTCATGATTCACAAGTGACATGGTATTGTACATAAAAAACCCTAAGGGCTCATCAAAAAACTACTAAATATAATAAATACATTCATCAAAGTAGCAAGATACAAATTTAACACTCAGAAATATATAACTTTTTTACACACCAATAATGAACTCACAGAAAGAATAACAAACAAATAATCCTATCTACAACTGCAACAAAAATATTAAGATATCTAGGAATAACTTTACTAACTTTGAAATTTACACTTAATATACTCCAAAACTACAGGAAGGGTCCAGGTTTGATTATGGTCAAGGGCACATGCCTGGGTTGCAGGCTTCGTTCTCACTCACGATTGTTTTTGCTATTCCTCATTTTATAGTTCCATACATTTCAAGATTCTCTTTTCATTTCTTTGAAAGGCGACGTGGCCCGATGCAGTAACCCTGCGTTTCCCGCAACGGCGGATGGTGGGCTGGCTTGCTCCTGGGCCCTCGGGACAGCCAGGGCCAGGGACCCACCGCCTCCGCTGGGAAATGGGAGATGGAGCAGAAAGAGGGGGGTCTTTGGGGACTCTGCACTAGCACCTGCCGCTGACTGGCCTGTGAAGGCCACACTGGCCTGCATGCTGGGCCCAGATATGGTCACCAAAGGGGCCACTGGAGACACCGGGGCTTCTCTTCCCAGCACGTGGGTTGGGGCTGAACGTGCCCTCCGGGGACTGCGGGGGTATTGTAGGGTGTGTAGGAGCATCACTGGCTGCTCCCCAAAACATAACCCAGTGCCTCTGGGAGGCAAAACGCCCCGGGGGAGAGCCAGGCCATGCCTACACCCTCCCCGACAGCCACGCACACAAGTCACTGAAGTGGAGCCTTTAGCTGAAACCGGAGAGGCCATGGGGGCATTATCAGACAAGATCGTTAAACTCAGGGTGCAGCATGAAGTAGCAACCAGCCACCTAAAACAAGGCATGCATCTCTTCACACGTATTCCTGCTCGGTGTCCAGGACAGCGGCGCTCCATGCCCTGAGGTCCCACTGGGAAGGAGACCCACAAAGGAAGGGCCCTGAGATCAGCCCTGAGGGGGAGGCCCCTGATGGTTCCCAAAACTGAGGTCCTCCCTGCCCGCCGATCCTCACAGCCACACCCTCAGGGGAACCTCAGAGGCCGGTCACCCCTGTGCTCTCCGCCCCGCACTGGCTGTGTCCTCAGAAGCCACCGCGCTCCTCCCTCCCCTCCGCCTTCCTCACGGTCCTCCCCGCGGGCGGAGCTGCAGGAGGGACAGGCCCGCACCGGGCTGTGGGGTGCGGGGTGAGGAGGCGGGGGGCCTGGGGGACAGGAACTCACCTCAGCGAAGCTCCTCAGCGCGGGCGCCGCCATCACGTTCTGTGGGCCACGCGGGGCGGGAGCGGCGGGAGCGGAAGCCGCGGCAGGAATGGCGGGGCCTGTCCCGGCCCTGGCGGGGGTCCGGGCGGTGACTCCGAGCTCCAACCCCACCTGTGAGCGGTGAGCACCACGGGAGGCTCAGTCCACGGGCTGTGCGGCGGGAACACCGGTCTGCACTCCTGAGATAACACCTCAGTGAGAAAATCCCGCCTAGAATGAGCGGCGTCCACATGCCGCGGCGGCAGCGAGAGGGGAGGCAGCGGCGGAGAAATGCTATTAGAGCAGCCGCCGCGGAGCCGTCCCCGACGCCACCTCCTTCGCCGCCGCCGCCGCCGCCGCCGCCGCCGCCGCCGCCGCCGCCGCCGCCGCCGCCGCAGTTTCCTCCGCCGCTGTCGGGGGTGCGGAGCTGAGGACACAGGGCGAGCGCGCTGCGCACCACCGCGTCGGCTCGCCGCCCTCGGTCCGTGCCGCGCTCAGGGGTCGGCCAGGCGCCCCCTCCTCCGCTCCGGGCGGGGCCTCGAGTCACCTCAGGAGAGCCGGGAGGGGGCTCGGGGGCCGCGGCCTGCGCTCCGGGCGGGCGGTTGAGGGCGAGGGAGACCCTCTCTTCTGAGGAGGAGGGGGAGGGCCGCCAGGCCCCCGCCGCCCAGCCGAGCCCGCCGCGGGCGCCGCGGGCAGGCCGGGCAGCCGAAGGGGCGGGCGCCCGCGGGAGGGGTGCGGGTGATTCAGCGCCCCGCGAGGCGGAAGCGGCCGGAGGAAGAGGAGGAGGAGGAGGCGGCGGAGGGAGAGACGCCAGTCCGCGCCTGGGCGCCCGGGGTGGCACGAGGCCGCGGTCCGAGTGCGGGGCGGAGGCGAGGAGGCCGCGGGGACAGGAGGAGGCCAGGCCGGCCGGGCCCCCGCAGCCATGGAGAACGCGCACACAAAGACGGTGGAGGAGGTGCTGGCTCACTTCGGGGTCAACGAGAGCACGGGGCTGAGCCTGGAGCAGGTCAAGAAGCTCAAGGAGAGATGGGGCTCCAACGAGTTACCGGCTGAAGAAGGAAAAACCCTGCTGGAACTTGTGATTGAGCAGTTTGAAGACTTACTAGTTAGAATTTTATTGCTGGCAGCGTGTTTATCTTTTGTTTTGGCTTGGTTTGAAGAAGGTGAAGAAACAATTACAGCCTTTGTAGAACCCTTTGTAATTTTACTTATATTAGTAGCCAATGCCATTGTGGGTGTCTGGCAGGAAAGAAACGCAGAGAATGCAATCGAAGCCCTTAAGGAATATGAGCCTGAGATGGGTAAAGTGTACAGACAGGACAGGAAGAGCGTGCAGCGGATCAAAGCCAAAGACATAGTTCCTGGGGATATTGTAGAGATTGCTGAGACAGAGAAGAAAGGTTCTGGAGGAAAAATTGCAGAACAGCTCCTTGGCAAGAATAAGAATTTTCCACTACCACTTGCCCTAAGGACATTGACTTGCCCCATCAGGGAAATAGCACTGGATTTAATCATCAGAACAGCACTGCCTACTCCCGCACAAAACCCTCTGTCTGAAATTCACAGAAGCCTGCAGACAAAGAAAAATTATGTCTTAGTTTGAAAAAAAAAAAAAAAAAAGAAAAGAAAGAAAATCCCGCCTAGAGGACTTGGTCCCGCCCCACAGAAGCGGCCAAACGGAAATGCCTTCTCTGAGCCCCCATTGGCTGAGCCTGGTGGCATTGCATGCGTGGCCTTGTGGGTAATGTTGTTTTCCGCTCCAGGGCCAGGGTCAGGTGTTTCTCAGTGGACTCAGGGACTGCCCTAAGGGGCAAATATCCCAAGAACACACCAAGTATACTCAGGGTCCTCTAGCGCCTTCAGGAGAGGTGATGTCTGGGGCAAGTTTGTTTCTGGTCTCATGTGTGGCTGGTTTTTGTTTTTGTTTTTTGTTTTTAATGGATTTTATTGATTTTTTACAGAGGAAGGGAGACAGAGGGAGAGTTAGAAACATCCATGAGAGAGAAACATCGATCAGCTGCCTTCTGCACACACCCTACTGGGAATGTGCCCTCAACTGAGGTACATGCCCTTGACCAGAACTGAACCTGGGACCTAACTCTCCCTTTTTTCTGAAATCAATAAAAATATATATAGGGGGGGGGGGGAATAAAAGAAGTATATCATGTAAGGGAAAATATCCTGTAAGTAAATTACATCTAGAAAATTTTTACTTTAGAAAATTAACTTCATTTGTAATGCTAACAGCAAGACACCCATGTAAAACATACATAGGGTCAAAACAAGCCAAAGGAAAATCGTTTGGGCAAAAAATGAAAAAGCGTTGCTGAAACTGGTTGGCTCAATGGATAGAGCGTCAGCCTGGGGACTGAAAGGTCCCCGGTTCAATTCCGGTCAAGGGCATGTACATTGGTTGAGACTACATCCCCAGTAGGCGGTGTGCAAGAGGCAGCTGATAGATGATTCTCTCGCATCAATGTTTCTCTCTGTCCCTCTCTCTTCCTCTCTGTAAAAAATCAATAAAAATATATTTTAAAAAAATGAAAAAGGGTTCCCTGTCAAATTTATAGAAAAGATTCTTTTATTAACTTTTGGTTGAGAATATCTTTGTATATTTTCAGAAAACAATTCCAAGACTATTTGGATTCCTGCAACTGAGATGAATTGACAGGACTACTCCAGCCATAAATAAAGGAAGTTGTACAGAGATGGAAGATGCTGATGACACCTTGCCATAGTAGCAGTCAGCAGCTGGACATCACTGTAGGTTGCTCAGAACCAAACCAGAGAGGGTTGGACTGGCATTACCACCATTTATCCACCATCCAAAACTGAAATATCATTGCTGACATGTACACATAAGAAACTGTTTGGCATTGAAATTGGGACTCAAAAGACCTGTTGGCTCAAGAAAGAAACTCACTACAGACTGATTCATTTGCCTTTTAACATAACCATAATTACTTGTCCCATTATCAGTTTTTATAAGAGTATTTCTACTAGCACAAGATCACACTCATCTGTGGGAAATGAATAACATAGAGTGATGAACAAGAACAGATCAGAGACAAGGAAGCATAGATCAGGCAGTGGGACTTCAGAGGTAAGGTAGGGGAGGTTGGGGATAAGAGGGAGAAATCAACCAGACTTGTGTGCATCCATGAGTCTAACCAGTGGTCACGGACAACAGAGGGGTGGAGGCATCCGTAGGGAGGGGTTTGGAATGGGAACGGGGGATGAGAACAAATATGTGATACCTTAATCAATAAAGAAATTATAAAAAATAAAATAAGAAAATTGTCTCTATAAACAACAAACGACCAGTGTTCTGTTTTCTTGACATATTAATATTTATTGCAGGAAACATGTTAGATTGTTTTTCTAAAAATCTTAAGCAAAAATCTATATATATAAAAGTCAAGCCAATCAAAGGTCCCGCTTCCCACCAGCATGATCACACACAACTGCTGTCCAATCCTGGCCTGATCACACACAGGCAACCCAATCTTCCATACCCTCCTTCTTTCCTTTTTTATCAGTGCCTCGTTGAGCAAAGGCCAGGGCTTGTTGGAAGCAAGTATTTGGATTTATCTTCTTACTTAGTAGCCGAGATCAGAGAACACGGCCTGCCAGGGAAGGTGAAAAGCTTTGCTTCCTCCATTGCTGGGAGCAACCCAAGCCTCCTGCTTGCTCCAGCTCCATTGACATATCAGTTGGATTAATTTGCATACTCACTCTGATTGGCTGGTGGGTGTAGTGTAGGTATGGTCAATTTACATGTTTCTATTTTATAAGATAGGTTTCCTAATTAAAATGTACCCAATGACAATGGTGCTTTTTGGCATCAGGATTGAGAAGTGTCTGGCCAGGGAATATCTCTGCAGAGAGAGGCTGGAGTTCAAAGAAGATAGAGAGAGAGAGAGAGAGAGAGAGAGAGAGAGAGAGAGAGAGAGAGAGAGAAATCAATGCTGAGAGAGAATCATTGATCAGCTATCTCCTGTATGCTCCAGATCTAGGAGGGGCACAGCCATCCTACCTGCGAATGGAATTGTGATTTCCTAGTTTGCATGTATAAACCTAGAGGCTTAGTGAACAAAATTTATGCTTTCAGGGATCTCTCAGCCTGGGCTGTGACTTCTTGCACTCTGGAAGCCCTCAGGGGATGTCTGACTCACAAAAGTAAATAACATGAATATCCATATAAACAATTATACAAAGTCCTAACTGGTTTGGCTCAGTGGATAGAGCATATGCCTATAGAATGAGCAGTCCCAGGTTCAATTGGGGTCAAGGGCATGTACCTTGGTTGTAGGCACAACCCCAGTAAGGGATATGCAGGAGGCAGCTGATCAATGTCTCTCTCTCATTGATGTTTCTGTCTAGCCCTTCCTCTCTGTAAAAAAATCAACAAACTATATATTTAATAAAATAATTAATATAAAAAAGAATTATACAGAAATGTTTATACCTGCTTCATTAACAATAACCAAATATTTATTAAAATGGACATGATGGTGATATGTTCAAAGATATGAATATCCACCAGAGCCCTAGCTAGCTGGGCTCTGGATAGATCATAGCCCTGCATAACAAAGGCTCCTGGGATCAATTCCAGTCAAAGGCAGATATCTTGGTTGAAGACTCCTTCCCATCCTGGGCCATAGTCACAGCTGTTGCAGGAGACAACCAAGCGATGTGTTTCTTTCACATCAATATTTCTCTCTGTCTTTCCCTCTCTATTCCATTCTCCAAAAAATTCAACGGAAAAATATCCTTGAGTGAATATTAATACAAACAAAAAGAATATCTATAAAAAATAAAATAAAGGATGAGCCGAAAATGGTTTTGCTCAGTGGATAGAGCATTGGACTTCAGATTGAAGGGTCCCTAGTTCGATTAGGTAAGGGCATGTACCTTGGTTGAAGGCACAACCCGGGTGGGGACATGTGTAGGAGGCAGCTGACCACTGTTTCTCTCTCATTGATGATTCTAACCCTCTATTCCTCTCCTTTCCTCTCTGTAAATATCAATAAAATATATTTTTTAAATGATTTACAAATATATCTTTTAAATATCTCCAACAATCTATAAAATAATAATTAAAGCTGAAAAATACTTAGAAAAAGCCTATTTCTTTATTAAGGTCAGCAAACAGATTAAATCAGGTCAAGAAACAACTACACAGTCACAGATACGATAAGTCATTATTCAGTGTAATGATGGTTTGAGCAAGTCTCATCTCAGTGACATTCAATGTAACCATCAATGAAGAACTTTCACCCAAACCAACTGGAATTCTTATTGGGTCACAGAAACCAATTACTGGCCTAAAGACAACTTTTCTTTTTCTCTTTGTTTTGCTGCCAGAGCACTAATGGCTCTGATGGGGAAAATATCACATGATACAGGAAACCACAAAACCTCCTCATTATAATCAATGATAATGACTGCTCCACAAATGATAAACATTCCTGGAGTCCTTCTGATGTTTATGCAAACAGCTCCTGTAGTCCTTTCATTAAAAAAAATTTCTGGGCGCAGGTTTAGATGAGGATCATTCCATCTAACAGGCTGCAGTCTGGTCAAACAAAAATTAACTCAGTGTTTCTGCAGTGAATGGGTTGCTTCTCAGTGCAATGGTCCTCCAACCAGTGACCATCACCCATGGCATTGAAGGCTTTAGGGCAAATGGTCCTCTGCAAAACCTAGGCAGGAGGTTCCCTTCAAATGTCAGTATCCCCTGAATACAAGAAAAAAAATTCACATTGCTTCCAGATATAGTTAAGGTTCTCACAGCTACCCCCTCTTTCGAGAGATCTGCATGTCTCAAAGCATCTATCTTTAAAGACTGCATTTACAAGGCTTTTCTCATATATGAACTCTTTGATGATTACGAAGGCCAAACCTATGTGTAAAAAATTTCCCACATTCACTGCACTTATAAGTCTTTTCTGCTGTATGAACTCTCTGATGACTGTGAAGATGAGTACTAGTGGTAAAAGATTTCTCACACACATTGCATTTGTAAGGCTCTTTTCCTGTGTGAACTCTCTCATGACGACGAAACTGACTGCTAGCGGTAAAAAATTTCCCACAATCACTGCATTCATAAGGTTTTTCTCCTGTGTGCACTCTCTGATGATTATGAAGTTTAGACTGAGTGATAAAAGATTTTCCACATTCATTGCACTCATATGGCCTTTCTCCAGTGTGCACTGTATGATGATATCGGAGATCAACACTACGTCTAAAAGACTTTCCACATTCACTACATTTATAAGGCTTTTCTCCAGTGTGAATGCTCTGATGACTACGAAGGTAGCTGTTAGTAGTAAAAGATTTTCCACATTCACTGCATTTATAAGGCTTTTCACCTGTATGAATTCTCTGATGTCTACGAAGGGCAGATCTGTGTGAAAAAGATTTTCCACAGTAACTGCATTCATAAGGCTTTTCTCCTGTGTGAACTCTCTGATGATTATTAAGTTCAAACTGAGTGATAAAAGATTTTCCACATTCATTGCACTCATAAGGCCTTTCTCCAGAGTGCACTCTCTGATGATAATGGAGACCACTGCTACCTGTAAAAGATTTTCCACATTC